GATTCAAGTTAATCAATAGCTTGGTATCACGACTCTCACCGCAACAGAAATGGAGTTTATTTAAATAGAGTTTATTTTCATTTTTTAGAATTTAATTTTTAATAGGATATGGAATAGAAACTTAATTGTTTTTAGAATAGATTTTATTATTATTTTAACATTTTTTAATAGAATTTTAGAATAGAATTTCAATTAGGATTTGTTTTTAGAAAATAGTTGTTTTTATTTAAAAATAGGAATAGATTTTATTTTTAGTTTTTAAATAGAATTATCTTTTTTTGGTTTTATAGAAATAGTTTTTAAATTTGATTTTATTAGGTTTTCTTTAAATAGTTTTTTAGAACTTTATACTTAAAACTCTTTTTTTTTTATTTGACAGAATTTTAATAGTTTCTTTTGTTAGAAAATAGAAAATATTGTTTTATTAGTTTTTATTAATCATCAACATTAACCAAATTAATCAAGTCTTAAACAATAGCCACATGATACACTAGCTACTAAGAGAAGATTGACAAAAAAAAAGCAAGTTGCCAAAGGATGGCCAAAACGCAGCCACCAGATGGACCCCACTCCAAGTCATTCACAAGCAAAACAAAACCATTTTGTTAAGACCCGCTGCTGCAAAACAGATGGACCCCCCTGCTGTAACTCATCACGCCTCACCTGTAAGACCAAAACCATTCTGCTACCACAAACAAAACCGTACAATGCCTTCCGCAAAAACCTTCTGCTACCACCTTGCAAAATTGTACCATGCCTGCTACTACTTCATAACACATCAGGACAATACAATACCTGCATTGAAAATGGACCCATCACACAAGACAAGTTCAGAATTCTGCACAGTCAGCCAATACAGAGGACAGAAAGAGGGTAGAAGAGTGGGAAAGGAAACCCAACATTCAAAGGGCAGAAAAACACCAACATCAAAATCTCAGAATGAATCTTCAACCTCTTAACCGAAAACTCCTTCAAACCAAAACTCACCTTGTTCTTCAGCAACATCAAATCTTCAATGAACAACACCGACCTGTTCACGCCTCTACCTCACCAACATCATCATCTTCACTTCCATTAACAAAGCTTCAAAACCTTCTACGAATCCCTCCGTAAGTCACCTCCTAACTAAACCCAGAAAAGCAACTCAGCAAAATTTTGTCAAAAACCCATTCCTTCAAAGCTCAAACCTCATTCTTCTTCCTCCAACACAACCGAAAACACCTAACCTTTAACAACAACCTTACTTAGTTTCCATTATCGCCATTTCCATCACCTTCAGAAAACCCCACCTCTCTCACGCCGTCTTCACTCAACCTTCAAACTCCCTCGCAAAATCCACTTCACCTCCATTTTTACCACTGAAGCTCAACTCTCCTTCATCTCTTTCAACTCAACGAACTTCACATCAACCCATTCAAAATCTGCAAATCCACCATTTCAACACGAAACTCCAAATCACCTCATTCAAACAACAACACTTAAACCATAATCTCAAACCTCCTTCGACCCGCGACATCGCTATCCTCACAACCATAAAAAACCATTCTCGAAACCCTCCGTTCTAAGACCTTCAAATCTGAACCCACAAATCACCGTCCGAAAACCCAGGTTTGCCTTTGAACCTCAACCTATTCGAATCACCTCCATCCATGGAACCCTAACTTTTTCCCCAAATCCATCTTCGTTATGACCTATCTCGAAACCAACCCATTTCTTTTCAAATTCCTCCAAACACCATGAACAACCACACTCTGAACGCAATCACCAAACCCAAACAGAATCAGAAAAGAAATAGACTAACAGAGAGAGATTAGAGATGAAGAGAAAAGTAGTGAACTGAAACGAAATCGCCCCAAGCATGGATCGGAAACCGTGACGAGATGGATTGAAGCAGAACTGAGCCACGAGGCGCTTGAAATGGATTGCGCTTTGGTTCTTCGTTGTTTTTCTTGGGATTTTGAAAAGAGGTGATGAACGAAAGTGAAGATTGGAAGAAGAAGGATATCCTTTTTCGTTGTTTTGTTTTGTTTATTTTTAGTCATTTTTTACTCTCTTGTTGTTGTTGGGCTTTTTCTAGCCCGTTTGTCATGCTTACCACACCCCTGTTTCCATTTCTGAACCCCCTATTTCATTTTCTTTTTCTTGTGTAGGTGAAATATATTATATATTATGTATATTTTTTAGTTATTATAATTTGCTTTTGTAAACATTAAATTTATTTTGTAAATAATTTATTTTTATAAATATATTATTTAGTTGGTGAAAATATTAACTTTTCTAAATTTTGGTTTATATATATATATATATTTTTTTATTTTATATTTTTATAGGATTTTGTATATATATATATATATATATTTATATATATATATATATATATATATATATATATATATTATATATATATATATATATATATGTATATATATATATATATATATATATATTATATATATACATATATATTGTATATATATATATATATATATATATGTATATATATATATATTATATATATATATGTATATATATATATATATATGTATATATATAGATATATATATATATATATATATATATATATATATATGTATATATATATATATATATATATATATATTATATATGTATATATATATAGATATATATATAATATATATATATATATATATATATATATATATATATATATATATATATATATGTATATATATATATATATATATATATATATATATATATATATATTATATATATATAATATATATATATGTATATATATATATATATATATATATATATATATATATATATATATATATATATATATATATATTATATGTATATATATATATATATATATATATATATATATATATATATATATATATATATATATATATATATATTATATATATATATATATATATATATATATATATATATATATAATATATATATTATATATATATATATATATACATATATATATATATATATATATATATATATATATATATATATATATATATATAATATATACATATATATATACATATATATATATATATATATATATATATATATATATATATACATATATATATATATATCTATACATATATATACATATATATATATACATATATATACTATATATATACTTATAGATATATATATATATATATATATAGATATATATATACATATTATTACATATATATACATATAGATATATATATATATATATATATATATATATATATATATATATATATATATATATATATATATATATATATATATATATATATATATATATATATATATATATATATATATATATATATAATATACATATATATATATATATATATATATATATATATATAGATATGTATATATGTATATATATATAAATATATATATATATATATATATATATATGTATATATATA